GATGCCCCCCGGGAGGCAGCGGGTCGGGTCGGGTCTGTAGCGTAGTGTCTGTAGCGGAGGAAACTACCGCTGCGCAGAGCGGCGCCTCCTGCGCGGCAGGTCAAGCCTCGTGCCCGCCGCCCCCCAAACCTGTTCCTGTTCCTATACTGGAGCCGTTTTCCCTCCGCTGCGACGGAACTTGCATTCCTCAGCACCCCTTTGGCACAGCTCTGCACGGCTGAAGGGCTATATGGACTCTCTCTCTCTCTCTCTGTATATATATACATATATATGGACTATAGCAAGGCGTTCTCCTGCCTAGATCAAGCATCAGTCCAGGTTTCCCAAAAGGCTGGCTGAAGGGCTGTGCCACCTGGCACAGGCTCAATGTGATGGCAGCTCACATACTCCGCGTTTCATCTAAAACCGCAGTCAGCAACAGCATGGTCCAACATAGTTGGAAATGCCTTCCCACTTACTGCCTCTTCTCCAGAGAGGACACCAGTTGGTATCCACAGCACTGAGGACGCTCGGGACAGGATTGGGATTCTCTTCATTGGGACGAGAAAACCACCCCCCCCGCCCCCCCCCCGGGCTCTGAAAAGAAAACCACATGAATGATAGTATTACAAAGCACCCACAAATGCCCAGTACCTCCTTCATTTATAGCAGAGTTCTCTCAGAAAGTGCAAATGGACCATTACAGACAAAGGAAACATTACCTTTTTTTTTTGCATTTTTAATGCACAATACTTTTAAAACTCTTACCAAAGAAAAACATTGTACAGCCAAACCTTTCTTTCCATTTTCAGTGTATTTTCTTGTTTTAATTTCAAGGAAGTAACCACACTCAAAACTTCCCTCTCCATCCTTTCGGTCTCATGCAAACCCCTCAGAGGATGTACATACAAATGTACTTTCTAGCCTGCAGTTTTTTTCCAGTCCGACTCAATCCCTCCTTTTCTACCATGGAAAGAGTTCCCAGTGTACTGAGCACAAGGTGGCCATTCCATTGCAGTCAAAGAGGCCTTTTCCCTACTCATTCTCCATATTTCCCAGACGCTTTACAGTCTGGCCAACACAAGAAAAGAACAACAGCCTAATAGTGACTCTTCCTTTCTGTCCTTCAAAGAAAAATCACTCAATTCTTGATAGGATCCTGCTGTTAAGAGGGGGGGAGGAATCTGCATTTCGTTAGCTACAGGAAACAGAAAAACTTCCAGACTCTGAAATTAAACCCCAGAAGGACTTAAGAACTGAAGTGGGGGATGGGACTCATAATTTACTGCAGCAGTCACTAGATTTTAGAGTTACAGAAATGTTAACAGGCAGAAGGGGAACAAGGACAAAAATGGCTTCATTTCATAGGCTGGAGGTGCCTCTTGACTCTGACAAATAGTTTCCCCATTACCACTTATTGGAAAAACTGAAGTATGGCCAAGTTGGGTTTGATTTGCTTCTAAAGTAGTCTTTCTTGTTTCATGCTTTAGGAGTGTTTCTCAGGAGTTAGTCACTGTGGCATGTGAATTCAGTCGACTGCCCTTCAGTTTGGAAAGAAGAGGGTGAATTAAAAAAAAAAGGAATGGTTTATTCAGTAGTGTATGCATTTTTGCCTAAAGAGCAAAAAGGCGAAATGAGAACAAACCAAAAATGTTTAAAACAACTATAAGTCAAGAATTTAACACAAGTCCTTTGCATGCCTATGTCATTGCCATGGTGATTACTATTAATTAACCAAGAGTGTAATTACATGTATGCCTCCATGAATTGATAAGGGAGCTGCCTTTCCTGCAACCAACTCTTTACAAGCCTGCGGTTATTGCAGAGAAACAGCAGCATAAAGACAGCCGCAGCTGGAAAGCCATTTGGAATTACGGAGGCAGCAAGGCAGAAATGGACAGTGCCTAGAACAGCACTGAAAACTGTATTTTATTAAAACAGTATTATTTAAACTATGTAGATCCACAGCAGACAAGCATGAAACGTCAGAGTTTGCAAACCTTGACCGTGCCCCGTAGCCTAACTACAAAGGCTTTACCACCAATCTTACCATCTGGAAATTAAACCAGTACAGATAACTATGTGCAAAAGCGCTCAGCAGTTCAAAAATAACCTCAAGAGTTCACTCAGGAGGCCAAAAAGGAAATGCTGGAGATCGTGGCTCAAGTCTGAGGAGATACTGTTCCCAGCTCCCGAAGAAAAATCCGAGAAAAGGAAGCATAAATCATTTATTTTCTCTCAAGCTGTCCTAGCAGGGTGATTTTCAGTGTTCTGGTTTAGGAAATACCTTTTTACTTTCCTATGGTAATCACAAAACGTTTCACACTATCCAGTCACAGGATCAATTCCCAGTGATAAGAAAGGGCCCAAGAGTAAGGACACAGAGGCTATAATGCAAGGAAAATGAAGAGTATTTGAGAAACAATGATTTTCCTTCAAGAAAAATAACCCAAAAAATTCTCAGAGCCTTCGTCTCACTGGTGAATCAGATAATATTCATAGGTCAACATCTTCTTCTAGAAAGGTCTCACAACAATACGTATGCCAATTACCTCCCTGAGCGGGTCTCGCTTCAAGGCAAACTGAGACATCAGGGGAGGTTTGAAAGTTACTTTCTAATAGAGACCAGCGTTTCAGAGTGATTCACCAGCTGAGCCCAAGACTGACCCCACGAGCAGGCAGAAAAGAGGAAGGAGAAATGAAAACTCCCTTTCATCACATGTCACATCAAAACCACTAATAATCACATTCAGTTCTGTTTTCTACTTCCTACCACCACAACTGTAATCCAGACTAATTACCATATTTTCCACCATGTAACAGCCAGCAATTCCTCAGAGTTCAAAAGTCCATGTGGAAACTGGTCACTGTGTCCAAATCAAACACCCCCCTTCTCCTTGAAGCCATGAGTTTATTTTGGTGTCTTCCTTTGCGCTTTTGCTGCAGTTAAACTGTTCCCCTAGCTTTGAGGTCAGTGACACTCTTGGAAATTCAGTGGTCTGCGCACAAACATACGCATGGTCCCGTCACAGCATGTGTGTTCCTAGCTACTGCTCTGCGATTCTGCCACTCCGAAAGACAAATTTTTGTCTTCTGCTTTCTTTCAACTCAATTCCTTCCTATTCAAGCAATGACAGAAGACTAGATCCCAATCTCCCCCGCCCCAAAACATGACACTAATGGTGCTGTTACATGAGAAGGCAAACTACCGATCCCTCCCCAAACCTGACTGTTGGTGGCAAGGCACAGGGGTGATTTGAACCAAGGAACTGGGTGCAACTGCAAGCAGGAGAGATGTGCAGCCCTCCTACCTCAGCTGACCCACAGCTGTCACACCAGCAAACCATGCCAAAACAGCACTGCCAGCTC